CATTGTTGTTGGAGTTCAGAATGCTCCTTGATTGTAGGTGAACTATAAATCTCAGTACCTACAACTCTCAAATGTCAAGGTCTATTTTCCCCAAACTCCACCAGTATTCACATTTGGGCATACTGAGTGTTCGTGCCAAGTTTGGTCCAGATCCATCACTGTTTGAGTCCACAGTGCTCTCTGGGTGAAGGTGAACTACAACTCCAGAACTCAAGGTCAACACCCACCAAACCCTTCCAGTATTTTCTCTTGGTCATGGAAGTTCTGTGTGCCAAGTTTGGTTCAATTCCATCATTGGTGGAGTTCAGAATCTATTTACTTATTTCCGATATTTATACCCCACCCTTCTCCCCCTGAAGGGGGACTCAGAATGCTCTTTGATTGTAGGTGAACTATAAATCCCATGAACTACAAATGATACAGAGCATCATATATATATATATATATATATATATATATATATATATATGCTTAATATAGTGGCTCCAGGATAGATTGTATGGCTAAGACTGATTTGGGTTGCTGTGAATTTTCCAGGCTGTCTGGTTGTGTTCCAGAAGCATTCTCTCCTGACGTTTCGCCTGCATCTATGGCAAGCATCCTCAGAGGTGGTGAGGTCTGTTGGAACTAGGAAAAGGGTTTATATATCTGTGGAAAGACCAGGGTGGGACAAAGGACTCTTGTCTGCTGGAGCTAGGTGTGAATGTTTCAACTGACCACCTTGATTAGCATCTAATGGCCTGGCAGTGCCTGGAGCAATCTTTTGTTGAGAGGTGATTAGATGTCCCTGATTGTTTTCCCTCTGCTGTTGTGCTGTTGTAATTTTAGAGTTTTTTAAATACTGGTAGCCAGATTTTGTTCATTTTCATGGTTTCCTCCTTTCTGTTGAAATTGTCCACATGCTTCTTGTGGATTTCAATGGCTTCTCTGTGTAGTCTGACATGGTGGTTGTGAGAGTGGTCCAGCATTTCTGTGTTCTCCAATAAAGGACATCTAATCACCTCTCAACAAAAGATTGCTCCAGGCACTGCCAGGCCATTATATGCTAATCAAGGTGGTCAGTTGAAACATTCCCACCTAGCTCCAGCAGACAAGAGTCCTTTGTCCCACCCTGGTCATTCCACAGATATATAAACCCATTTTCCTAGTTCCAACAGACCTCACTACCTCTGAGGATGCTTGCCATAGATGCAGGCGAAACGTCAGGAGAGAATGCCTCTAGAACATGGCCATATAGCCCAAAAAAACCTACATCAACTCACTTAGTTTCCAACAGATAGAGGTTGAGGGGTCAGTTGGAAACTGAGTTTTATCTATCTGTGGAATGTCCAAGGTGGGAGAAAGAACTCTTGTGAATGTTGCAATGCCCCACCATGATAAGAATTGAATGGCCTGCAGTTTCAAGCCCTGGCTGCTTGCTGCTTGGGGGAATCCTTTGTTGGGAGGTGTTGGGAGAGAACCAGTTACTGCATTGGGAAGTGGATGAAGAAACACAACATATAAATGATCTCCAGACCCACCAAGAAAATCCAACCAATGCTCCGATCATCAAAGGTCAAGAGGGGTCCGCTCACTTCTGCAGGAGTCTACCGTATATCCCATGCAGCCACCAAACCACCAAACATACCAGCATTGCTCAACCACGAATCAAGGAACATGGAAGGCACTGCAGACTCCTTCAACCAGAGAAGTCAGCCAGAGCAGAGCACCTGAGGAACCAGCCTGGACACAGCAGAGTATTTGAGAGCACAGAAATGGTGGAACACTCCAACAACCGCCACGTCAGGCTACACAGAGAAGCCACTGAAATCCACAAGAAGCATGTGGACAATGTCAACAGAAAGGAGGAAACCATGAAAATGAACAAAATCTGGCTACCAGGATTTAAAAACTCTAAAATCAGGACACTAAAAAAAAAAGAGCAACACTCAAAAAGCAGGGAAATTCCAGACAAGAATCAAACAGGGCCAGCTAACACCTCCCAACAAAGGATTCCCCCAGGCAGCAACCAGCCACGCTTTGAAGCTGCAAGGCCATTCAATGCTAATCAAGGTGGCCAATTGGAAAATTCACCCCTACCTTCAAACAGACAAGAGTTCTTTCTCCCAGGGCCAGCTAACACCTCCCTACAAAGGATTCCCCCAGGCAGCAACCAGCCACACTTTGAAGCTGCAAGGCCATTCAATGCTAATCAAGGTGGCCAATTGGAAAATTCACCCCCTCCCTCCAACAGACAAGAGTTCTTTCTCCCAGGGCCAGCTAACACCTCTCAACAAAGGATTCCCCCAGGCAGCAACCAGACAGGCCTTGAAACTGCAGGCCATTAAATGCGAATCAAGGTGGCAAAATGCAACATTCACACGTACTTCAAGCAAGCAAGAGTTCTTTCCCCCACTTTGGACATTCCACAGATATAGAAACCTCACTTACTTAGTTTCCAACAGACCCCTCAACCTCTGAGGATGCCTGCCATAAATGTGGGTGAAATGTCAGGAGAGAATGCTTCTGGAGCATGGCCATACAGCCCGGAAAACTCACTGCAATCCAGTGATTCCAGCCATGAAAGCCTTCGACACTACATCGTATTATTATTATTATTATTATTATTATTATTTACATAACAAGATTAGTACAAAGCAAACAAGACTGGATTTGTATTACATCATACATTGGACACTTCCCAAGTGTAGGGTGGCCTTTTGCAGATGACAGATGGTAATTTGGCCAGTGCCAATTGTTTTTAAGTGCAGGCCAAGGTCTTGAGGCACTGTGCCAAGTGTGCCGATCACCACTGGGACCCCCTTGACTGGCTTGTGCCAGAGTCTTTGCAATTCTATCTTTAAAAGACAGTAATTTGGTCAGTGTCAATTGTTTTTAAGTGCAGGCCGAGGTCTTGAGGCACTGTGCCAAGTGTGCCAATCACCACTGGGACCACCTTGACTGGCTTGTGGCAGAGTCTTTGCAATTCTATCTTTAACAAACAGTAATTTTGTCAATGCCAATTGTTTTTAAGTGCAGGCCAAGGTCTTGAGGCACTGTGCCAGGTGTGTCGATCACCACTGGGACCCCCTTGACTGGTTTGTGCCAGAGTCTTTGCAGTTTGATCTTAAAATCATCGTATCATATCATATCGTATTGTTATTATCTCGGGCCAAACCCATGGACAATTATGATTGATTGTTTAGTCAAGTATCATATACACAGATCATCATCATCATTATTAATTATTATTATTATTATTATTATTATTTGATAAACAACAAGATTGGTACACAGTAAACAAGATCACAATGCTGGCTTTTGTATTGGATCACACATCAGACACTTCCGAAGCGTCTAGGGAGTGTGATGTATCCGCGAATAATGTGTGCACATTATTATTACTATTATTATTATTATTATTGACACAAAATCACAGCAAACGAGATCTCTATGCTGGATTTCGTATCACAAAATCACAAGTCGAACACTTCCCAAGCGTCTAGGACTGTGCGATGTTGCTGTTGTTGTTGTTGTTGTTGTTGTTGTTGTTATTATTCTCTACCCTTTGACACCTGGCCTTGCATTAACCCTTATTATTATATTATATTTCATTATTATTATTATTATTATTATTATTGACACAAAAGCACAGTGTGTCACAGCAAACGAGATCTATATGCTGGATTTCGTATCACAAAATCACAAGTCGAACACTTCCCAAGCATCTAGGACTGTGTGATGTATTATTATTATTATTATTATTATTATTATTATTATTATTAATTATTGACACAAAAGCACAGTATGTCACAACAAACGAGATCTCTATGCTGAATTTCGTATCGCAAAATCACAAGTCATAGAATCCTAGAATCCTAGAGTTGGGAGAGACCTCGTGGGCCATCCTCCAGTCCAACCCCATTCTGCCAAGAAGCAGGAATATTGCATTCAAATCACCCCTGACAGATGGCCATCCAGCCTCTACTAAATAATAATAATAATAATAATAATAATAATAATAATAATAATAATAATAATAATAATAGAGTTGGAAGAGTCCTCCTGGGCCATCATCCAGTCCAACCCCATTCTGCCAAGAAGCAGGAAAATTGCATTCAAAGCACCCCTGACAGATGGCCATACAGCCTCTGTTTCAAAGCCTCCAAAGAAGGAGCCTCCACCACACTCCCTCCGGGGCAGAGAGTTCCACTGCTGAACGGCTCTCACAGTCAGGAGATCTATATGCTGGATTTCGTATCACAAAATCACAAGTCGAACACTTCCCAAGCGTCTAGGACTGTGCGATGTTGTTGTTGTTGTTGTTGTTGTTATTATTCTCTACCCTTTGACACCTGGCCTTGCATTAACCCTTATTATTATATTATATTTCATTATTATTATTATTATTGACACAGAAGCACAGTACGTCACAGCAAACGAGATCTCTCTGCTGGATTTCGTATCACATAATCGCAAGTCGAACCCTTCCCAAGCGTCTAGGACTGTGTGATGATATTATTATTATTATTATTATTATTATTATTATTCTTCCATAGAAGGAGCCTCCACCACACTCTGCGGCAGAGAGTTCCACTGCTGAACGGTTCTCGCAGTCAGGAAGTTATAGAATCCTAGAATCCAAGAGTTGGAAGAGACCTCATGGGCCACCCAGTCCAACCCCATTCTGCCAAGAAGCAGGAAAATTGCATTCAAAGCACCCCTGACAGATGGCCATCCAGCCTCTGTTTAAAGGCCTCCAAAGAAGGAGCCTCCACCACACTTCCGGGGCAGAGAGTTCCACTGCTGAATGGCTCTCACATCGTCTAGGACTGTGTGATGTTGTTGTTGTTATTATTATTATTATTATTATTATTATTATTATTATTATTATTATTATTTAGTAGTAGTAGTACAATCAAGTTTCCAAGGCTCAAACGAAGGACCCCTTTTGTTTTCGACTTTTCCAGCCAATGCAAACCTTGCAGAGAGAAGCCAAGCTATGTGTGAATAATACTCACTCGTCTTGCTCTGCCATTGGTCCGTACATGTACCAGTTGTCATCGTAGGCGAAGTTGTCATTGAGGGAGAGATCCTCGCTGGTCAGTCCCGGGGAAGACATGGCCTCTTCTTTCCTCCTCCAAGAAAAGGATATAGATCAGTCAATGGATCAATAAATGGGTAGACTGGGTCCCAAAAGGATTGGCTGATTCTCTGAGTGTGTCTGTGCACTAGAAGGAGCCGAGTGAGGGTCCCGTGGCGCTCCCCCAGGCGCATGCCTCCACATCCATGACCTGCTCCGTCCCTCCAAACTGAGTTCAAAGTGACTTTGCCCTGTTTCAACAGCTGATGAGAACAAAGAAGGAGGAGAACACAGGCTGGTGCAAAAGGGGGGAAGGAGGGAAAGAAGGAGGGAAAGAAAGAAGGAGGGAAAGAAGGGGGGGAGCCTTGCTCATAAAAGGCTGGGTCACACCCGGGACAAGCAGATTAAAGAAACCCAAGATGTGCTGCTCCAGTGGGCTCCCCCCTCCACCCACTCGTTGGCTTTGGGGTGTTTTCATTCCTCAACAGAGCAGGTGTGGGTTTCAGGAGTAGTTTTTTGGGGGGTCGGGGGGGGGGGGTCTCCCTTTCATTCCTAGCTGGCCCATCACATTCATCAGGGGCACAGGACCCCCGGGACAAGGAAAAACCATGCACCATGTAGAGAGGCACTGCACCCATCTCAATAAGTACAAACCATATATATAAACAGTTTTCTTAACCTACAAGAACACCGCACAGGCAGTGTTTCTCAACCTGGGGGTCGGGACCCCTGAGGGGGTCGCGAGGGGGTGTCATAGGGGTCGCCAAAGACCATAAGAAAACACAGTATTTTCTGATGGTCATGGGGATTCCATGTGGGAAGTTTGAGCCAATTCTATCATTGGTGGCGTTCATAATGCTCTTTGGTTGTATGTGAACTACAAATCCCAGCAACTACAACTCCCAAATGTCAAGATTCTATTTTCCCCAGAATCCACCAATGTTCACATTTGGGCATGTTGAGTATTTGTGCCAAGTTTGGTCCAGATCCACCATGGCATGAGTCCACAGTGCTCTCTGGACATAGGTGAACTACAACTCCAAAACTCAAGGTCAATGCCCACCAAACCCGTCCAGTGTTTTCCGTTGGTCATGGGAGTCAAGTTTGGTTCAACTCCATCGCTGGTGAAGTTCAGAATGCTCTTTGATTGTAGGTGAACTATAAATCCCAGCAACTACAACTCCCAAATTACAAAATCAATCCTCCCCCAACCCCACTAGCATTCACATTTGGGTGCATTGGTATTTGTGCCCAGTTTGGTCCAGTGAATGAAAATACATCTTGCATATCAGATAGGTACAACATGATTTATAACAGTAGGAAAATGACTGTTATGAAGTAGCAACAAAAACAATGTTATGGTTGGGGGTCACCACCACATATGGAACGGTATTAAGGGGTCACGGCATTAGGAAGGTGGAGAACCACTGGGTTAGAGCCTCCAGGATGACTCTATGGGTATGTCTACACCAGGCACTGACACACTTTGGGCCCTCCTTACAGGTGTTTTGGACTTCAACTCCCACAATTCCTGGCCTCAGGAAGGAAAAGGAAGGAAGGAAGAAGGAAAGAAAAAAGGAAGGAGGGAGGAAGAGAAGGAGGGAGAAGAAGGGAAGAAGAGAGGGGAGGGAAGGAGGAGGGAAGGAAGGGAGGAAAAGGAAGAGAGAGGAAGGAAAGACAAAAGGGAAGGGAAGAGAAGGGAAGGGAAGGAGGAAGGAAGGAAGGAAGTTGAAAATGGGAGAGAGGGAGCAAAGAGGGATGGAAGGATAAAGGGTGGAAGAGAAGGGTGGAAGGAGAAAGGGGAAGGAAGGGAGGTAAGGAGGAAGGGAAGAGAGAAGGAAGGAAAGACAAAAGGGAGGGAAGGATGAAGGAGTGGAAGTGAAGGATGAAAGAAGAAAGGAAAGAAAGAAGGAAGGAGGAAGGAAAAAGGAAGGAAAGGAGAAAGCAGAAGGTAAGGAGAAAGGGAGGGAAGGAGGAAGGAAAGAGAAGGAGGGAGGGAGGAAGGTAGGAAAGGATAAAGGGAAGGGAAGGAGGGAAAGGTGGAAGGAGAAGGGGGGAGGAAGGGAGGGAAGGGAAGAGAGAAGGAAGGAAAGACAAAAGGGAGGGAAGGATGAAGGAGTGGAAGTGAAGGATGAAAGAAGAAAGGAAAGAAAGAAGGAAGGAGGAAGGAAAAAGGAAGGAAAGGAGAAAGCAGAAGGTAAGGAGAAAGGGAGGGAAGGAGGAAGGAAAGAGGGAGGGAGGGAGGAAAGGGTGGAAGGGAAGGATGAAGAGAAAGGGAGGAGGGAGGTAAGGAGGAGGAAAGAGAAGGAAAGACAAAAAGGGAGGGAAGGATAAAGGAAAGAGAAGGGAAGGAGGGAAGGAAAAAGGAAGGAAGGAAAGCGGAAGGTAGAGAAAGGGAGGGAAGGAGGAAGGAAGGGAGGGAGGGAGGAAGGATAAAGGGTGGAAGGGAAGGATGGAAGGAGAAAGGGGGGAGGGAGGTAAGGAGGAAGGGAAGAGAGAAGGAAGGAAAGACAAAAGGGAGGGAAGGATGAAATTAGGAAAGAAAGAAGGGAAGGAGGGAGGAAAGAGAGGAAGGAAGGAAGGAAAGAAGGAAGGGAGGGAGGAAGGACAAAAGAGGGAAGGAAGGAGAAAGGGAGGAAGGAGGAAGAGGGAGGGAAGGAAGAAGGAAGGAAGGAAGGAGAGACGGAAGGAAGGATAGGAAGGTGAGACATAGGAGGGCCTGAGAAAAGAGCCCAAGGGTCTGCATCGCCAGTGTGTATGCACCCTCCACTTTCCATGGATAGCAATGGGGAAACGGAAGGCCTTTTAACTCTGGTATGAAGTGATGTACCTTGACCCTTCAGAACCTTGTTGAGTTCCTTCATAGCTGCCTAGATTCCTGCCCAAGCCAGACTAGATGGCTCTTGGGGTCCCGGTGGTTCTATGAATGGACAGTCCAACGTTTGCTCAACCATCGCTTTTTGGACCACTAAGGTCCCAGGAGGTGACTGACCAAACGTTGTTGAGATCCCTCCAGATGAGGCGTGTTTGAGATCTTCGGGAGCCACCTCCTGACCGTCCAGCCTCTCTCCCAATCTCCTTGCCCGCTCCTCCCCGGAGTCCGCCCTCTCCTTCGAGCCCTGCTCTTTGGAGCAAGAGAGGAGAAGTCCGCGGCACCTTCTGCCTGACGGCTCTTCAGATATTTCAAGACCGCTCTGGGGCCTCCCTGGAGATCTCTGTACCAGGCAAGCGCCTTCCCCCAAAAACGGAGGCCGGCCCTTGTGTTTTGTGGCCTTTCAAGAGCACTGCGTCCATGAATTACGGTTATGGCTGCACAGAAGGAGATTTCGGAGTTGCTCAAGTGACCCCAGGCCTTCTCCTCTGGCCAACCTTGGTGGCTTCCATGTCAACGGAGCAGCTTATCTGCTTTAGGTTCTGGTCCAAATATTAAAGGAACGATCCAAGGGATTGAACCCAACGCATCCAGACTTTTTGAGAAATGGGTTGTTGTGAGTTTTCTGGACTGTCTAGCCATGCTCCAGAAGCATTCTCTCCTGCTGTTTCGCTCACATCTATGGCAGGCATCCTCAGAGGTTGTGAGTTATATTGGAAACTAGGCAAGTGGGATTTATTTATCTATAGCATGATGTCCAGATTGGAAAAAGAACTCTAGTCTGCTTGAGGCAAGCGTGAATGTTGCAATAGGCTACCTTGATTAGCATTGAATTGCCTTGTAGCTCCAAAGCCTGGCTGCTTCCTGCCTGGGGGAATCCTTTGTTTCTAAAAGGCCTCACAACTTCTGAGGATGCCTGCCATAGATGTGGGCGAAACGTTGGGAGAGAATGCTTCTGGAACATAGCCAGACAGCCTGGAAAACTCACAGGAACCACTTGAAAGCCTTTGAGATCTCTTTGAAGCAAACATCTGGAGGAGATCCACTGTCCCAATGACAAGTGAGTCTACGCTGGCATGGGTTGGAAGAACCTGGAAGCGACAAGTTACAATCCTACAGTTACTTTGATTTCAGAGGAATGCAATGGCAAGCTATCTTGCGAGTTTTTTGGGCTGAATGCCCATATCCCAGCAGCATTCTCTCCTGATGTTTCACCTGCTTCTGTGACTAATAGCACCTTCAGAGGTTCCGTTGGCAGTGAAGCAAGTGGAGTGTGTATGTATCTGTGGAATAATGTCCAGGGAGGGAGAAAGAACCCTTGCCTGTTGGAAGCAAGTGTGAATGTTGCAATGAGCAAGCTTGAAGAGCATTGAGTAGCCATGAAGTTACAAAGTCAATCAGTGAGGGTGAATAATGTCCAGGGAGGGAGAAAGAACCCTTGCCTGTTTGAACAAGTGTGAATGTTGCAATGAGCAAGCTAGAATACCATTGAGTAGCCATGAAGCTGCAGTCAATCAGTGAGGCTATCTGCATAAAGGTAGCCTGGCCTCTGTTGCCTGGAGGCATCCTCTTTCTGATGAACAATTTCAACAGAAAGGAGGAAACCATGAAAATGAACAACATTGAAAAACACCAGAACCAAGGCACTAAATAATGAGCACCACTCAGAAACTCCAGACAACAAATCAAGGGCGTGAACACCTCCCAAGCAGAGGATGCCTCCAGGCAACAACAGCCAGGCTACCTCCATGCAGATACCCTCACTGATTGACTTTGCACCTTCATGCCTACACAGTGCTATTCAAGCTTGCTCATTGCAACATTCACAGACATCATGGGTTCTTCCTTCCACCTTGGACATTATTCCACAGGGATATGCGCACTCCATTTGCTTCACTGCCAACAGAAACTTAGACAGGGATGCAGGTAAAACATCAGGAGAGAATGCTGCTAGAACATGGCCATAGAGCACGAGAATCTCACAGCAACCTAGTGATTCCAGTTATGAAGGCCTTTGACAACATGCACTTGAGTTTTCCTTGCCCAAAAAACCCCCCCAACGAATTCAATTGCCACTTGAAGAGCTTCCAAACTAAGAAAAAGTTTGCAAGAAAGTACACACAGTGCATGGTTGGAACACTTTGCTGGAGCATCCCAAAAACTACCCTTAAAAGAATTAGAACAATGGACTACCCCTTGAAATAAGGAGTGAGGGACCAGCCTCAGACGGGTTGCATCAGAACGTGGTACCTGTGAGCCCAGGAAT